TATGAAATCATTCTCAAATGCTGGTTTGGGGCATGTTGAAAACAGTTGTGCTGCTTAATATTTTTGTGGAAACCGCAATATTTTTCAGTTGTCTTTGGTGAATAAAAAGCTCAAAGGAACAGTATTTATTTGAAATATAATATTTTTTGTAACATTTGACACTTTTGAACAATTTAATGCACATTTGCTGAATAAAAAGAATAATTTATTTCAAAAATTGAAAAAAAAGTCTTACTAATCTCAAACTTGGTGTTGTTGTATATAGTTTTATTGAGAAAATGCCCTTGGTTGGTGGTATGTGTTGGGAGTATGTGAATGATCTCACTCTCTCTGTTCTCCTCTCAGTTATGGTAGTAAGGAGGGATGGGCTCCAGCTGCCTACCTGAGGAAAATGCAAGATGGTGTCATGGCTGGTAACCAGACAACAGAGACAAATAAACCAGATGTGCAGGGTCAGGTGGAAATCATCGGAAACCTTATGGAGATCAGCAACCTCCTGAACAAGAAACCCTCCAACGAACGACACTCACACACACAAACTGACACCACTGCACACCGAAACAGCACCACAAACACATACAGGCACTCACAGACTGACACATATACACAATACAATGGTGATACGGAGCAGACTGATGCTTACAGTAACAATACACACAGTGATAGAAACAGCAGCAGCAGCGGCAGCATTAGCACAGCAGCTAATGCGGTTAGTAGTAGTTTAGACAGAGACTCTGATGATCATGTCACCCAGCACACAGACACGAGTGTGCGTCTGTCTGTCTCAGACACCAGTGTGTCTGTGTCAGTGTCAGATGCTTGTGTAAATGCATCTGTTTCTGAAGCAAGTGTGTCTTCAACATCATCCGCAATAAAGACCAAAACCGTCACTCCGTCTCCTGCCATTGCTCGAGTCGCACCTCAGAGATTCCACAGTGCTGAGACCAGTGAGTTTCTATCTTTTTCTTTAATGTTCACTTTTTGTGCTTTTACTTTTTATTTCCTTTACTTTGTCCTTGTATTTCTATTTTTCGTTCTCCCTCATTTACTTTTTATTTCAATTGTTTCTCTTTCTTCCTGTTTTCTTTCTCTTTTTATCTCTTTTCGGTCTTTCTTTCCTTCTTTCTTTATGTATTTTCTATAATGTTTTTCCATCATGTTATGTGTTAAAGGGATAGTTCACCCAAAGATTTAAATTCTGTCATTAATTACTCACTCTTATGTTGTTCCAAACTCGTAAGACCTTTGTTCATCTTCAGAAAACAAATTCAGATATTTTTGATGAAATCCATGAGCTTTCTGACCCTGCATAGACAGCAACGCAACTGGAATGTTCACAGGCCCAGAAAGGTAGTAAGGACATCATTAAAATAGTCCATGTGAAATCAATGGTTCAACCGTAATTTTATGAAGCTACGAGAATACTTTTTGTGTTCAAAGAAAACAAAAATAAAGACTTTATTCAACAATTCTTCTCTTCTGTGTCACTGTCCTCCGCCGTTATTGAGAGTACCATGACACAGGGTCAGAAAGCTGTTGGATTTCATCAAAAATATCTTAATTTGTGTTCCAAAGAAGAATGAAGGTCTTAGAGGTTTGGCACGACATGAGGGTGAGTAATTAATGACAGAATTTTCATTTTTGGGTGAACAAACTTTTAAAGATTACAAACACATTTTGATGTTTGATTTGTTTTCCCTAGGATCACCATCAAACAATCAAAAACTGCCTCCCCGTCGAGAAAACAGCCTGGTCAGTGTGTGTGTTCTCATTTTCCTGTTCTGTTTCTTTTTTCCTCTTTCTCTCCATTGCGCGCGCGCGCGCACACACACACACACACACACACACACACACACACACACACACACACCATTTTGTGGTTTTATAATATGCTGAACAGCATATTCTTCTCTTCACATTCAGGGATTTCAGTTACCGCAGCCCCCAGATCCCCCTAATGTTGAAGCGGAGTATTACACCATCGCTGAGTTCAGGTCCTGCTTGACAGATGGGATCAGTTTCAGTGGAGGACAGAAAGCTGAGGTAAGACACTGTTCAATCAGTTTTGGGGAATTTTTTTTTTTAAAGAAAAAAAAAAATAAATTGCTGTTATTCAGTAAGGACACATTAAATTGATCAAAACTGACATTAAATACATTTATAATGTTACAATAGATTTCTATTTCCAATAAATGCTGTTCTTTTGAACTTCCTGTTTATCAAAGAATCATGTAAAAATAATTATTACAGTTTCCACAAATAGAAGTGGCCAAACTGTTTTCAGTATTGGTAATTAAAAATGTTTCTTGAGCACCAACGCAGCATATTAAAATGATTTCAGAAGGCTTGCGTGACAATGAAAAGTTAAGTAATAGCTATTGACAATTTAGCATTGCTATCACAGGGATTACATTTTATTCTTTAATTTCATTTTGAAATTCAAATAGAAAATAGTGATTTTAAATTGTAATTCAATTTCACAATATTACTGTTGTGTATTTTTGATCAAATAAATGTAGCCTTGGTGAGCTTAAGAGATTTCTTTCAAAAACATTTTTTTCTTAAAACATTTTTATAGTTTTTAAAAAGTTACTATTTCTAAATCAGCTAATTGTGATGACTTAGCCTATGTGTTAGAACAACTATATTGTTGGTCAAAACTGTGTAGAACTTCTATATATAAACTGATCTAAAATCTTCAGTAAAAGTGTGACAACTCATCCCAATGTTCCCTATTAGCTGCAAATAACATTAAATATAAGTATTTCTACGTATGTTTACAGGTCATTGAGAAGAACTCCGGAGGCTGGTGGTACGTCCAGATCAGAGAGAAGGAGGGTTGGGCCCCGTGTTCTTACATCGACAAACGCAAGAAACCCACCTTGAACCGCCAAACCAGTACACTGACCCGGCCCAAGGTACCACCTCCTGCTCCGCCAATCAAAAAGCAGAACTCGCTTCCATGTGTTGAGTCTGAGGTCATGACCCCAACGAGTCCACGAGTGTATGAGGAACCAGAATATGATGTTCCAACAGTGGGCCTTGAATTCGATCCTGAGCAGGAGTTTTTTCCAGAAGATGCACCGACTAAAGCCCCGCCTCCTTTATGTCAGAGTACCATTTCTTTTATGTTGGGTGAAGGGGATGAAGAGGATGATGAGGGTGTGTATGCCATCGGTGGCTTCAGAGCTGTACCACAGTGTAAGGACAGTCACTATGATACATACTCATCTTCTTCAGGGCACCGGGCATCTATGTGGGATCCACCGGAATATGACGCCCCAACAATCGAGCCCAACATTGAGACCACTACGACGAAAGCAATCTAAACTCAAACAGCAGGCTGATGAGTCTAAATCCAAACCGTCCGTGCGTCCGAAACCCGCAAACCAAGACTGTAGTTCTCTCAGAAGACCCCAAAACCAGGAGCAACCAGGCCAGATGCAATTCAGGACCTCCCGCACATCTGACGACTCTGAGAATGGCTCGTCAAATAAATTACAGATGTTTAGTGATCTGCCTTCATTTTTGTACCGAACTACTATGGCCTACCAGCGGGAAGAGCTGTGTGAGCTCAGCTTTCCCGCGGGAGTGCAGGTGGAGGTTCTGGAGAAGCAGGAGAGCGGCTGGTGGTTCGTCCGCTGGGGGAACGAAGAGGGCTGGGCGCCCACTTACTACCTACAGCCAATCAAAAGCTTCGAAACAAGCGGTACAGAAGCCAAAACCACCGAGGTTAATTCTGAGACGTCTTGGTCTGCGTCTCCTGAGTTGGAGATTTCAGTGCAGGGAGATGTTGGAAAGATGGGTAAATGCGTAAGTTTGGAGAAGAACGAGCAGCGTGTTAACCAAAGCCTGAAGAGCGGACACAGACCTAACCAGCAGAACTGCCGGGTCGGCGTGAAGCAGCTCACCGTCAGACCTCAGAACGTCCTCAAGGACAACACTAATATGCACACAACTCCCGCAGGACGGAGGAACGATGCGCTGCCTAGTCTTAGCTACAATGACCAAACCACTTCTTGTGCAGGTAATACCGAGAGCATGAGACGTAAGGTACCGGTGTCAATGGTGAAGCCTAAACCTCATCTGATCCACAACAACCTGCGCGAGGAGTACGTTTCTATCGCTGACTATCATGGCGATGCGGAGACCATGAGCTTCCCTGCTGGCACGAGGCTGGAGGTCCTGGAGAGAAACCCTAATGGATGGTGGTACTGCCGTGTGCTTGACACAGCTAAAACACGAAAAGGATGGGTGCCCTCCAACTTCCTGGAGAGGAGTAGCTAGTGGGTGACCAGATTTAAATACCAAGCCTTACGTCTCATACATCTTCACCATGACCCCAATAAAATCATGTTCCCTTTTTAATTCATAAGAGACATTGCGGTCTCTGTTCACAAAATCAAAGGGAACACTAAAGAATCTTGTTTATATGCTGAATACTCCTGCTTGTGCTGGATGATGTGATGTTATTGTCACTGAACAGGCTTTTAGTTATTGCTGTTAGCTGGTCTTAATATTCTGCAGAAGGTTTTGGTTAAAATGTGTCTGCTTTTTTTTACTAAAACTTAGACTAAATGCACTTTCAAATAAATGTCTATCTATCTATCTATCTATCTATCTATCTATCTGTGTGTCTCTTTGTTTGTGTAATTAAACATGGTGCTATTCCTATTCCTATTAAATCACTTCATTTTCAGATCTAGTCTTATTATAAACAGCCAAGTGCTATTTTGAATCTTCATCACAATAGCTTGATGGTGTTTGTCGGTTTATGTCCATGCATTAATATAGGGCATATGTAAGTTAACTAAATAATCATTCAATCATCAAGTGGTCAATCATTGCATTATTATAAATGCTTAATATAAAAACCTTTAAAACATTAATCTATAATTACATTTTTCGTAGCAGTAATAATGACAGGCTCTGCTGTTGGTTAGCATTACAGTTATAGTTTTATTTCACAACGAACATAAATAAAATTATTGGCACTTACAGTTTTGTGAATGTCTACTTTGGTATGTAAAACAGTTTTTAGTTTTTCAGTTTAATATATTTACCAACACATCAAATCCACAATGTAGTTTTCAGATTCTTATTCTGGATTGATTTAACATATACAAGTTAAAGAACTATTTGTGAACAGTCTTTTAACAGTATGAAGTTAGTAGGATATTATCAAACGAAAATAAGAATTAGTCTCATAGTAGCTTGATTTCCCATTATGCACATCTAGCCATTTGTCCATAGAGATTTATAGGCAATAGAGACTTATTATCTGGGATTACATTATTGTTGTGCCATCCACTTATGCAGTTACTGTACTTCTGGGTTTTCTCTGCATTTTTGGTCATTTAGTAATCAAGCAGTCATTTAGTACCTCTTCCTTGCTCAACCTGTGAAGGAGCCTCTTCAGAATCACCCAGTACTGTCATCCTATTTGTTAGAGAGGTGGTTTTCAGTTTTCATGCTGCGGTATATTTTGATGACGTCTCTGATTGGGCTGCGACACATGGGGCAAGATGGGTTTGACATCTCCATTAGCTTCCCACCACAGACAGAGCACACGCACATGTGTCCGCATGCGTACAGCACTGAGTCCACTGCCCTCTCACAGCAAATCAAACACTCACCAGTAATCGCATAGCATGACGGGGTACTGGGAGATTCTGAGGACAGTGAACTGAATGTTGTCCCTGGTGACCACAGCAATCACAAAGAAAACAGCAATGAGAAATATATTTTTGTTGAGGAATTTGGTAAATCAACAAATAATAGAAAATTAAAGAATAAAGGACAGGAACGCACCTACAGAACTGCAGAGACTCTGTGGGCGGGACTCAAAGCTGTCTGTAAAACCCCTGACTGCTGTACTGTGAATCTGATTGGCTGAGAGGTGACTGGCATCACTAAAGATGGACCTCTGTATTTCTGAACAGGATGGAGAGTCACCACAGGAAGTGCCTTGGAAAAAAAAAAAAACAAAAAAAAAATCTGTTAACCCTACACAACTAATAATAAATACACAAATAATTAAAATTATATTACATTATAATTTCATTGTAATCAAAAATCTATTAAAGTCACTAATAAAAAGTTTGATATGGGGAAAAAACAAACAATTGTAAACATCTTCAAATTATGTATGAAAAATTGGATATAAGAAAAAAAATAAAACAATCTAAACACCTTCACATTATACCAGAGACATAATTAAAAATGCATTAACCCTGCACATCTAATATTAAATAAAAATGTCAATCATACCTTTTATTATGTAATAAACATGACTGTTCAGTACAAAAATTCATCAAATAATTATTATATTATATTATATTATAAATGAATTAATTTTGATCAAAATCAATTAAAGTTACTTATGTAAAATTGGCTATAGGAAAAAATAAAACAAAATAAATCTAAACACCTTCACATTATGCCAGAGCAATAATTAAAAGTGCATTCATTCTGCATTAACTATTCAGTAATTATGTCTAACATACCTTTTATTATTAGTATTGAATTATAATCAATAATAAATTTAAGTCACTTATGAAAAGTTAGATAAACAATCATAAACATCTTCACTTTAAGTCAGAGCAATAATTTGCATAATTGAATATTTTACCCAGTATGCTGATTTGCTTGATGTGTGGCTGTAAATGGAAGATCATCCACAGAGGAGTGGAGTTATCCACACACATCTCTCTTTATTTTATTTTAGTAAAAAAAAAAAAAGGTTCTGTTACTCACCAAGGTTGCATAAAATGTATAAAAAGTTAAAGACATACATTGTTATAAAATGTCTTTTTCAATTAGATGCTGTTCTTTTAAACATTCTATTCATCAAAGAACCCTGAAAAA